ACTCGCTTGAGCCCAGGAGCTGGAGGTTGCTGTGAGCATGATGCCATGGCACTCTACCCAGGGGGATAGCTTGAGGCTCCGTCTCAAAAAATAAAAAAAAATAAAAAAAATAAAAGCCTGCCATGGCAATTGCAACAACAACAAAAATAAACAAATGGGATTTAATTAAACTGAAAAGCTTTTTGTACAGCTAAGGAGACAACACCCAAAGCAAATAGGCAACCTACACAACGTAAAAGGATATTTGCATATTTTGAATTAGACAAGAGCTTGATAACTAGGATCTATAGAGAATTCAAATTAATCCACATGAAAAAAGCCAACAATCCCATATATCAATGGGCAAGAGACATGAATAGAACCTTCTCTAAAGAAGACAGACAAATGGCTAACAAACATGAAAAAATGCTCATCATCCCTAATTATTAGAGAAATGCAAATCAAAACCACTCTGAGATACCATCTAACCCCGCAAGAATGACCCACATCACAAAATCTCAAAACTGCAGATGCTGGCATGGATATGGAGAGAAGGGAACACTTTTACACTGCTGGTAGGACTGCAAACAAATACAACCTTTATGGAAGGAAGTATTGAGGACCCTCAAAGAACTCAAATTAGACCTCCCATTTGATCCTGCAATCCCATTACTGGGCATCTACCCAGAAGGAAAAAAATCCTTTTATCATAAGGACACTTGCACTAGACTGTTTATTGCAGCTCAATTTACAATCGCCGAGATGTGGAAACAGCCTAAATGCCCACCAACCCAGGAATGGATTAACATGCTGTGGTATATGTACACCATGGAATACTATTCAGTCATTAAAAAAATGGAGACTTTACAGCCTTTGTATTAACTTGGATCGAAGTGGAACAGATTCTTCTTAGTAAAGCATCACAAGAATGGAGAAGCATGAATCCTATGTACTCAATTTTGATATGAGGACAATTAATGACATGGTGGGGGTGGGGGAAGGGGAAAGCGAAGAGAGAAAGGAGGAAGGTGGGGTGCGGAAAGGTAGAGCAGAAAGAGGGTAAGAGGAAAGGGAGTGGGTCTTGGTGTGTGACACACCTTTTGGGGGCAATATACAAACGTAAGAGAGACATTACCTAACAAATGCAATCAGTGTAACCTGGTTTCTTGTACGCTCAATGAATTCCCAACAATAAAAAAAAAAAAAGAAAGAAAGAAAGAAAAAAATCTACACATCTTTTGAAGAGTACTAACGATGTAAAACTCTACTAATAAAATTAAGTCTATCCAAGTTCGTCTAAATCAATTCTATTTTTACTGTTCGTTAAGCACAGAAGAAGTATAATGATAGTAATCTTATTAGCTGATAATTTCTATTGATTTTTCTAATAAGTAGCTTCATATAATTTTTTTTTTTTTTGAGACAGTCTCACTATGTAGCCGTGGCATCACAGCTCACAGCAACCTCAAACTCTTGGGCTTAAGCGATTCTCTTGCCTCAGCCTCCCAAGTAGCTGGGACTACAGGTGCCCACCACAATGCCCGGCTATTTTTTGGTTGTTATTATCAATGTTGTTTGGCAGGCCCAGGCTGAGTTTGAACCTGCCGGCTCCAGTATCTATGGCTGGCGACCTAGCCACTGAGCTACAGGCACCAAGCCAAGCTTCATATAAATTTAAATACCTTGATACACAGGGGAAAATTCAAAGAGCTTTGTATATACCTGGAGTGGAAGTTAGTTTTACATAAAATAACTTTATAGACTTTAAAGACTTATCAATAAATATCACAAATATTTACTTGCCATACCTGTTTCATAAGTGTCTTATTTACGACAATATCAGAAAAGTTCATATTAGGCTTGGCACCTGTAGCTCAAGTGGCTAAGGCGCCAGCCACATACAACAGAGCTGGCAGGTTCAAATCCGGCCTGGGCCTGCCAAATAATGACAACTACAACCAAAAAACTAGCTGGGCGTTGAGGCAAGAGAATTGCTTAAGCCCAGGAGTTGGAGGTTGCTGTGAGCTATGACGCCACAGCACTCTACCTAGGGCGATAGCTTGAGGCTGTCTCAAAAAAGAAAAAAAGACAAGTTCATATAATTGGTGATGGTGAACATTTGGTTCTGAACAGTCAAACTTTCACAAGTAAATCAAAAATTACTCTAAAGTATCAATAAATCTATTCTTATAATCGCATATGAAAACTAGGATTAGAAGAATAGACACTTCAAAGTACAGGTGACCCTAAATTCTCCTCTTCGACATATTTTTTGCTATTCCACTTATCATTCCATTGGTTCATATCTTTAATTTCCTAATTGTAGGACAGAGCAGTAGCTAATGTCTATAATTATAGCACTCAAGGAGGCTGAGGTGGAGGACTGCTTAAGCCTAGGAGTTCGAGGTTGCAGTGAGCTAAGATGACACTACTGCACACCAGCATGGGTGAGAGGGAGACACTTCCCCCCCCCCAAAAAAAAATCTAGGCCAGGTACAGTGGCTCTTGTGATTGTTGTACTCTGGGAGGCCAAGGTGGGTAGATCTATCGAGGTCAGCCTGAACAAAAGTAAAAGACCAGTTCAAGACCAGCCTGAACAAAAGTAAAACTCAACCTCTACTAAAAATAGAAAAACTAGCCAGGTATCAGTATGCACCTGTAGTCCCAGCTACTCTGGAGGCTGAGACAAGGGGAACACTTGATCCCAGCAGTGAGGTATGAAGCCACAGCATTCTACCCAAGGCAACAGAATGCCTCTGTCTCAAAAAACTAAATAAATAAATCCTGACTGTGTATCTTTCCAAAGCTATTGTAGTCTAAAAAACAAAAGAATATTTAAAAGGGGCATATAACCCAAAACTCAACTATTATTAAGAATGGCTGGGGGCTGTGCCTGTGGCACAAAGTACTGGGGTGTCAGCCCCATATACAGGAGGTGGCAGGTTCAAACCTGGCCCCGGCAAAAGGCTGGGGAAAAAAAAAAAAGAATGGTTGGGGTCCGTGCCCGTAGCACAGTGGTTATGGCACCAGCCACATGCACTGAGGCTGGTAAGTTTGAGCCCGGTCTGGGCCAGCTAACCAACAAGGATAACTGCAACAAAAAAATAGCCAGGCATTGTGGCAGGCGCCTGTAGTCTCAGCTACTTGGGAGGCTGAGGCAAGAGAATTGCTTGAGCCCAAGAGTTTGAGGTTACTGTGAGCTGTGACGCCACAGCTCTCTACGGAGGGCAATAATGAAACTCTGTCACCAAAAAAAAAAAAAAAAAAAAAGAAAAAGAAAAAAAGAAAAAAGAATGGGGGCAGCACCTGTGGCTCAAAGGAGTAGGGCACTGGCTCCATATGCTGCAGGTGGCAGGTTCAAACCCAACCCAGCCCTGGCCAAAAATTGCAAAAGAAAAAAAATGGCTTCTCAATAAAGAAAAAAAATTCCTAGTTCTGGGTATACCTTATTTGGGTAAGGATATTTTAAGATATTTGCTGATTCAAAGTATAGGAATTATTTTCAAAACGCTCTCAAACATGAAATTTCTGACTTTCCTTGGTACCTCTGGAAATGGTATTCTCTAAGTTCTATCCCTAGAGACTGATTCATTAAATTTAGATTGAGTATAAGAGAACATATACATATACATATATATATATATATATTTTTTTTTTTTTGAGACAGAGTTTCACTTTGTTACCCTTAGTAGAATAATGCCATGCCACTGCGGAGAGTTTGTATTTTAAAAGAACCCCAAGTAATTCTGTCAGGCTCTTTAAAACCACAGGATCTCATTGTATCTTTTTTGGTTTTGTTTTGTTTTTGAGACAGAGTTTTGCTTTGTCACCCAAACCGGAGTATAGTAGCACAATTGAAGAGTTTACTATAATCTTGAATTTCTAGATTCAATTGATTATGCCTCTCAGCCATTAAAATAGCTAGGGCTACAGGTGCGTGCCACCATGCCCAGGTAATTTTAAAACATTTTTTGTAAAGAAGGGATCTCATTATATTGTTTGGGCTGGTCTCAAATTCCTAGGCTCAAGTGATCCTCCCAAAGCACTGGGGTCACAGACATTAACCAACCCACGCCTGGCCTCTTTTGGTCTTTATCTTATTATTTTTTGAGACAGAGTCTCTGTCTCTTACCTTGGGTAGAGTGCTGTGGTATCATCATAGCTCATAGCAACCTCAGTCTCTGTGGCTCAATTGATCCTCGAGCGTATCAGTCTCCCAAATAGATGGGACTACAAGGTCCCTGCCATAACACCCAACTATTTTTTCTATTTTTAGTAGAGACAGGTCTCACTCTTGTTCAGGGTGGTCTTGAACGCCTGAGCTCAAGCAATCTTCCTGCCTCAAACTCCCAGAGTGCTAGGATTACAGGTGTGAGCCACTGCCTGCCTGGCGCCTCTTTTGGTCTTTAAAAGTATGTGTTTTATCATTCTTCCATTCATTTTTTCTCATAGGCAGGCAGTATGATAATAAAATCCAAGTTTAATATATTACCTAAGAATTCAATGTGTTTCACGTTGAAAAAATGATTTTATCCACCAAGCGGAATATTTTGCTCTAAAAGAATTAGAGTATATGTAGTAATACGAAAAATCTCTAAGACACATTAAGTGGAAAAAAAGGCAAAGAGAAAAATAGTATGATTGATATAATCCTTTTTAGATGAATAAAGAGAAATAAACTGCTAATAGTGGTTACCTTTGGGGAAAGAGATTGATGTAATAGAACAGGAATGGGAGAGGAGATGTAGAGAAGGAGAAAGGAAGTTTTTATTTTCTTTGGTTTTTCTACATTATTTGAGTTTACTAGTATCTTTTTTAAAAAAGTAACCTGGTTTGTAGCAAATATGCAATAACATGCAAAAAAGTTTTGTTTTAAAAGAACAGCAAAAAATATTAGCAATACTTTCCAATTATGGTGACTGCTGCTTTTTTATTCTTTGATAACCAAAGCAACCAGTCAAAGGAATATTAATAGTCAGTCTTGCATAACCACAGGTTCCACATAAATGGATCCAACCAACCTCAGGTGGAAAACACAGTGAATGTGGGATGCAGAACACTCAGCTACAGAGCTGACTTTTCATACCAGAGGGTTCTGCAGGGCTGACTGCAGGACTTGAGCGTCCACAGATTTGGCATCCACAGGACGTCTTGGAACAAATTCCCCACAGGTAGTACTTCAAAGTTCTCTCCTAAAACTTACAATATTAATGCTTAGCTTTCTTGCCAGCTCTTCATCCCTTTTCAGTTGTTCTTCCATCTCTCTTCGCCTTTTTTCGGACTGTCTTTTTTCCTCTTCTTCTTCCTCTGCCAATAATCTCTGTATATATTCTTCACTGGCTTTGCTTTCTTCTTCTTCACTGGCTCGTCGCTCTTCCTCCATCTTAAAAAAAATGATTACAAATAACACTTCGCTGAATGTTTTAGTATACTTGCAATGTTATGTAATAAAATAAAGTAATAAAGTAAAGTAAGAATTGGCAGGAATTTAAATACCTCAAATGAGGTACAAATCTGGAGAGGCAAATTTCTGCATAAGAGTTCAAGTATGCTCTCTGAGGAAGCCTTCCTCAGTCAGCTCAATGAAACCTTGCAGAAAGACTTAATCCTTCTCACTTCATTCCTTATCACAGTTTCTACTACACTGCCACACATTTATGGAAGCGTTTCTTGGTAATACTTTCATCAGTTATGGAATGATGTGTACTCACTAATTTAACTCTAGCTTCCTTTGTTTGAGCTCAGGAGTTTGAGATCAGCCTGAACAAGGGCAAAACCCCATCTCTACTAAAAATAGAAGAAACATTAGGGCATTGTGGCAGGCACCTGCAGTCCCAGCTACTCAGGAGGCTGAGGCAAGAGGATTACCTGAGCCCAAGAGTTTGAAGTTGCTGTGAGCTTAGATGCCACAGCATGCTAGCCGAGGCACAGAGTGAGAGCCTGTCTCAAAAATAAAATAAAGCTGCCTGTAGTCCCAGCTACTCTGGAGATTGAGGCAAGAGAATCGCCTAAGCCTAAGAGCTGGAGGTTGCTGTGAACTGTGACACCACAGCATCCTACTGTGGGCGATAAAGTGAGACTCTATCTCTAAAAAAATAATAAATATAATATTAAAATAATTTTACCTTTAAAAATATTTAAAATATTGTAGCTACTAGTAAAACTTAAATTCCATACGGGCTCACAATGTGTTGCTACCAGGCAGCACTGATCCACCCAAAGCTGGAGAGTAGGAAAAGTATACAGGTCTTCTGGTACCAGTTAATTTCAATGGCTCCCTGTTCCCTCTTTCCCCATTTAGGTACTTCAAAATTAGCCCTTGATGCTTTCCTCATCTACTATCCTTTTTACATCCCTTAAGCTCAAAACTTCAGAGAAATGAACAATTCCCTTCATGCTTGAAGGCTTATAGGGATAGCTATTACTAAAGAAGAGCACCAATTATGAGTAAATTAAAGCTGGTTTATTAACTATTTGAATATGTAGAAAAACAGCGCCTTTATACATACAATAGAATTATTCACATTTTAAGATACACTACTTATATAAGCACATAAAACTATATTAAACACAGCAAAGAAAATTTCCAAAAAAAGACAAACTACTTAGCACTTACCTTGCTTACCTCCTCTTCATATTCTCTTCTTAATTCCCCAGGTTTACTTAACAGATGAACTGGCTGATAGTCATCAACTGTTTCTTGTCAAAAAGAAAACAATATTATATGTAAAACAGAATATTATGGGTAACTTGAGTCTTCTATCACAACTATAATAATATAAAATAAGCAAGGCTGGTCGCAGTGGTTCACATCTGTAATCCTAGCACCTTGGGAGGCCAAGGTGCCAGCCACATACACCTGAGCTGGAGGGTTCGAATCCAGCCTGGGCCCACCAAACAACAATGATGGCTGCAACCAAAAAATAGCCAGGCATTGTGGTGGGCACCTGTGGTCCCAGCTACTTGGGAGGCAGAGGCAGGAGACTCACTTGAGCCCAGGAGTTGGAGGTTGCTGTGAGCTTTGATGCCATAACACTCTACCTAGGGCAACAGCTTGAGGCTCTGTGTCAAAAAAAATAAAAATTGGCTCAGCGCCTGTGGCTCAAGTGGCTAAGGCGCCAGCCACATACACCTAAGGTGGTGGGTTCGAATCCAGCCCGGCCCGCCAAAACAACAATGACAGCTGCAACCAAAAAATAGCCAGGCGCTATGGTGGGCACCTGTGGTCCAAGCTACTTGGGAGGCTGAGGCAGGAGACTCGCTTGAGCCCAGGAGTTGCTGTGAGCTGTGATGCCATAGCACTCTACTCAGGGGGACAGCTTGAGGCTCTGTCTCAAAAAATAAAAAAATTAAAAAATTAAAAAATAAAAAAGAACCATATGTTTTGGTGGGTGCCTGTAGTCCCAGCCACTTGGGAGCCTGAGGCAAGAGAATCACCTGAGCCCAAGAGTTTGAGGTTGCTGTGAACTATGATGCCTGCCATAGCACTTTACCAAGGACGACAAAGTGAGACTCTTTTTCAAAAAGTATATATATGTAAAAGCAAAATTAAAATAAAATGTACAATTATTAATAGCTAGAGTAGCATCTTCTTTCGGAATTCCATTTTAAAAACATGGGTTTGGGGCTCAAAATGCCACATGAATGCATAACCCTTCCTCTAGACTCCATTAAAATAACAGTGAAGGAATTTTTTTTAAAAATGTAATCTATCTGGCTGGGCATGGTGGCTCACACCTGTAATCCTAGCACACTGGGAGCTCAAAGCAAGTGGAGTTCAAGACCAGCCTCAGCAAGAGCAAGACCCTATCTCTAAAACTAGCCAGGCATTATGGCAGGCACATGTAGTCCCAGCTACTTGGAAGGCTGAGAGAAGAGGATCACTTGAGCTCAAGAGTTTGAGGTTGGCTGGGGGCTCACACCTGTAATCTCAGCACTCTGGGAAGCCAGAGCGAGTCCGCTGATCCTTAAAGCTCACGAGTTTGAGACCAGCCTGAGCAAGAGACCCCATCTCTAAAAAACAGCTGGGCATTGTGGTGGGTACCTGTAGTCCCAGCTACTTGAGAGGCTGAGGCAAAAGAATCGCTTGAGCCCAAGAATTTGAGGTTGCTGTGAGCTATGACGCCACAGAACTCTACTGGGGGCAAGAAAGTGAGACTCTAGTCTCAAAAAAAGAGTTATCTAACATGATGGGTGCAGTGGTTCATCAATATAATGAATGCCAGGAACTAAGAAGGCTACCTAGGAGTTTGAGACAGGCAGTAGGGAACAGAGAGGAGAGGGTGACGGGAGGAGACAGGAAGAGAAAAACAAGCCAGGCAGGGTGGTACAGTGTCTATAGTCCCGTCTACTTGGGAGGCTGAGGCAGAATTGCTTGAGCCCAGGAGTTTAAGTCTTCAGTGAGCTATAATCACGCCACTGTGCTCCAGCCTACATGACAGAGTAAAACCCCTATGTTAAAACAAAAAAGCAATATTACAATAGCAGAGATTAGTTGAGGGAATTAATCAATAAACAAATTTTAACAGATTTCTGGAAAATGAGAAGCCAACAAAAGAGAGGTGACTGATACAGCAGAATGAAAATATAACCCTTAAAAGGGAAGGAAAGCTATCGCTGAGGTGGGAGGGAATCTACCTCCTATCTGCCCAGAGTGCGGTTTGGCTGAGGCCCAGAAACACAAGGCACGATAGAGTCCAGAGTGAGTATGTATGGGGCTGAAAACAGGAGAACTCAATGTTTATAAACAGTCAAATCAGAATACTCGCCCTTTGCAATCTGGCCATTAGGGATAACAAAGTGAAAAAGCTCAGGTTTCTACCTGCTTACCATAACAATGTCTGCCAGCCACCAATACCCCTTCATGTACACAAAGATAAGGGCCTCATTTCCAAATACCAAAGCTACTCTAAGCATCCTAAGACATTTGAAATCTATGTATGGGATTAAACAGAAACAGTAAACTATGGGAAAGAGGGAGAATCACCCTGCAGCTAAAAAATAATTCAGGAGGGGCGGCACCTGTGGCTGAGGGTAGTGGGTTCAAATCTAGCCCCACCAAAACTGCAACAAAAAAATAGCCAGGCGTTGTGGTGGGCGCCTGCTACTCCTCAGGAGGCTGAGGCAAGAGAATCGTCTAAGTCCAGGAGTTGGAGGTTGCTGTGAGCTGTGTGACACCACAGCACTCTATAGAGGACAACAAAGTGAAGACTCTGTCTCTAAAAAAAAAAAAAAAAAAAAAAAAAGGGAGATAATCTCAGTGAAGGTTTAGGAGTCTCCTCTATCAGGGGTGTTGGGTTCAAACCCGGCCTAGGCCGGCCAGACAACAATGACAATTACAACAACAACAACAAAGTTAGCTGGGCACTATGGCAGGCACCTGTAATCCCAGGTACTTGGGAGGCCGAGGCAAGAGAATCGCTTAAGCCCAAGAGTTAGAGGTTGTTGTGTGCTGTTACACCACAGCACTCTACTGAGGGCAACATAATGAAACTGTCTCAAAAAAAAAAAAAAAAAAAAAAAAAAAAGAAGGGCTGCAAATAAAGCCCAGGTAGGTAAGAGGGACAACACATATTATAATACTTCTAATAAAGGATGATAAGATATATACTAAAAGTAGAAAAACTCGCTGGGCACTGTAGTGGGCACCTGTAGCCCCACCTACCTAGGAGGCTGAGGCAAGGGGATCACTTGAGCTCAAGAGTTTGAGGTTGCTATGAGCTATGATGATGCTATGGCACTCTATACAGGGCGATGGAGTAAGACTCTGTTTCAAAAAAAAAAGAAAGGCTCGGCGCC